CCCGATTCATGCTCAACAGCATTGTTCAATATTGTTGACAAGTGTGAACAACGTGGGCAGCAAAACATTGTTCAGTCCTGTTGAGCAACGGGCTCGGCGTTTTTTGCCGTGTATAGGGTACTCAGTATACGGTACTGCCATGTATAGGTTATTTGTAATAATATTTGATAGGTATTGAAGATGTAAATTGTCGAGTGGATATTTGCATACCTTAACTAAGATGAATGTAAATATTCTATCTAGACTTGACTTTCATAAGATGACTAATGTTGGTTTTCTCATTTTATTTGGTCTCAGTTCTGTGTTGTTTCCATGTGAAGGTATATAAGACTTTATTTTCCCAATTTTATTTTATTTTCTCGCGTTTTTATATCCCATTCTTTGCATGCTTGACTCGCTTGCGAGACACTGATCAATTTTTTTTTGTTTCCATACGGCTATGTGTATTATCTCCTTTAATTATTTAAGTTGAATGAGTTGTCTTTCGCCATCCCCATTGGATCCCTTCGTGACAATACATGATTGATGGTCAGACTATAGGTTGAGGAAGTTTATCACTTTATAACCGAAAAAATCGGGGTTGTTTTCAAAAACGGTGTATTATTGTTTCTGAAAGATCGTAGGACTGTGAAATGATTATAAGATGGTACTTCTGAATGCACATCACTTACGAAGGAAAGCTACTTGTTAACCTTATAGAAGAGTATTATAATTACTTTGCAAATTTGTTTTTGATTATCGGTTTCAGTTATTAACTTCTTCAATCTCAGTCAAATTCGTCCTGATCTGCTCCCCCAAGGGAGCTACATAGTCTGTGAACTACGGAAGCCCAGAAGTGTAATTGCGGCTATTTCCTATTTCCGTGTTGAAAAAGTGGGTTGCAAAAGCTACTTTTTTCGCTATTTCCTATTACCGTGTTTCCTGTTACCCTATTACCGTGTTTGCTATTGCTGTGTTTCCTATTACCTATTACCGTGTTTCCTATTGCTGTGTTTCCTATTACCTATTACCGTGTTTGCTATTGCTGTGTTCCCTATTACCTATTACCGTGTTTCCTGTTGCTGTGTTTCCTATTACCTATTACCGTGTTTGCTATTGCTATGTTCCCTATTACCGTGTTTGCTATTGCTGTGTTTCCTATTACCGTGTTTGCTATTGCTGTGTTCCCTATTACCTATTACCATGTTTCCTATTGCTGTGTTTCCTATTACCTATTACCGTGTTTGCTATTGCTGTGTTCCCTATTACCTATTACCGTGTTTCCTATTGCTGTGTTTCCTATTACCGTGTTTCCTATTGCTGTGTTTCCTATTACCGTGTTTGCTATTGCTGTGTTCCCTATTACTTATTACCGTGTTTCCTATTGCTGTGTTTCCTATTACCTATTACCGTGTTTCCTATTGCTGTGTTCCACTATTACCTATTACCGTGTTTCCTATTGCTGTGTTTCCTATTACCTATTACCGTGTTTCCTATTGCTGTGCTTTCATTTGAAAGGCTATACTTTTGATATTTTAAAAACATTCCAAGCCCCAAGGAAGTTCAGACCAATCATGCGTTTAGCAGTAGCCAATGACTGTGTTCCCTATTACTTATTACCGTGTTTCCTATTGCTGTGTTTCCTATTACCTATTACCGTGTTTCCTATTGCTGTGTTCCATTTGAAAGGCTATACTTTTGATATTTTAAAAACATTCCAAGCCCCAAGGAAGTTCAGACCAATCATGCGTTTAGCAGTAGCCAATGATAGCAAAGCTTTTGCAAGCTAAACCAATCAGAGCTCGTAGAAATCTGACAATAGCAAACAAGGTGTGGTTTACGCATTTGTGGCAGATTTGAATATTTCTGCTCGAGGCTTCCAAGTTTAGAGAGCACACAATTAAAGTTGTTCAGTTGCTGCAACAAAACTTCGCTTTTATGAAACTTCGTCGAAATAAAATCGATATGCCATGCAGAGAGAAAGGTCAGTATTAAATTTAGCTATTTTTTAAACGTTTCTGAGTTGTTGTTCTTAAGTTATTTGTACACACGTGTTTTTTGAAACACGTGTGTACACTCATTCATTGATGTATTGAATTCGATTCCATTCAAGCGCTTCGTTTCGGCGCTTTTAGTCGCTTTATTTTCTTGGTGTTTCTCCCTCATTTTATAGCAGTAATGTTCAGAAATACCTCAGCTTTGATTTATTTAACTCATATTTAGTTAATCTTCGATTTCAGGGCGAAAATTTGAAGAGAAAGTGAACTAATTTAAGTCGCCGACATGGTCGAAAACGCAAAGTACTTGGTAAGTATAAATGGCCACTAAAGGCGTTTCCTTAACTGTTGTTTCTAAGCTTTCCTTATACAACTAGAACGTCTTCTAGTAAAGCCTTGTAGCTTTATGAACACTCTCTGTCAAATTAATTTGGTTAAAATTTTGTTGAAACTTTTATCCGTACAGAACGAAATGCCGACTTATTTTAGGCATGTTGAATTCGACATGCATTTCAAACATTTTAGCTTCTATAAACTTGTCGTTAATGTACAAATTGTACTCTGAGAGGGAAGGCTAAGCTTTTTGAAGTTGAATTTAACCCAAATGTTTTGAAGAAGTTCAGAGATGAAATGTCCTCGTGGTTCATGCCCTGATATTAATTTTATGCATACATGCATGCACGCATTGTGGACATAACCACACCCTGTGTAAACGATGTTAAAATTATTCTCCACTGTCAAAACTAAAAATGCATTATCCAACTTTTTTTAGATTGCCCCAATTTCGATCATTTTGCCTCCAAACAGTGCAGAAAGACCTCTGAAGAGACGTTCACCTACCAGGCGAAACGCAAAACGAGAAGACGAGAAAGCCGAAAGGCATGCAAATGAAGACCGCCATCAGCTAACCTCACAGCTTTTATCGTCGCATTTCGTTTGTACCACGTTTGGACGAGAAAGTAGCCAAGACATATAATACCATACTCGAACGGTCGCTGTTTCAGCGTAGGCAGAGACAATAACATCAGAAAGCTGTGGATTGATTCAACTGCCTGAAAACTACAAGTAAAACTTAATACCATAGTCTGACAGTGACGGAACGCTCGAAAGCAGATACACCCATCATCAGATTTCGCTCGGCCAGTCAATTGTAAATGGGTGCCAAGACCTGTCAAGCCACGATGCACCATCCAGCGACTCTATCACCATTGTTTCCAAGACTGGCATGAGGGATTGCCTACCAAAACCAGCCTATGAAAAGGCGTGAAAGACGCTGTACATTACAGAAGGTATATTTTTCTCGTGATTTTCGTTGGTCGTGTTCGAAAGGCGTGTGGGACCACCCTGAGGACGCCCAAACGCACAAAACAGATTTAAATGTGGCACCTTTTCCTTAATTTCGCAATTTATTCAATTTTCTTACATTTCTTGGAATTTGTGAAAAACTCTTAACGAAATCGAAATGTTTGAAATTCGGAAGGTTTTATCTGGGAGTTTGTTTATTTGAAAGATATTTGAAATGAAATTTTAAAATTTACGTCACTTTGGCATTTGGTTTAAACGCTAGGTAAAATTATGCCAGATGAGTGACCAACCATTCGTCGAGGTTTGGTGATACTTCGCCTTGGACTTGTCCGACCTACAGTCGAGTTGCTCTGATCGATTGTCGTGATAAACTAGCGCAGGTGCAAGGTCTGGTCAACCTTACATCGGTGCTTTTTGTTCGTGGCATGAGATTGGCACAGCTCGCCTGTAGGCCTGGAAAGATCAAGCCGAAGAACCACCAAACTTTGATTTGTGGTCGGTTTTTTGTCTGTATGGTTTTATTCAACGTTTTCCCGTTACCATTTTGATGCAGACTTTGGGATTTTGGCTTGAATATCTTTGATATAAACATTCTTTGAGGTTTAATCTTTCACGAATTTCATGGTTTTTGACTAGTTAATGTGTTGCTCGCAGATATATAATTGTATTTAAAAAAAAAATGAACCAATAGAATTTAAAAGTGACCAAAACGTCATTTGAGGTGTCCGATGGGAGGTCCAGTGGGAGTCGCAGCGGATATCAATGGATAAATACGGATTACTGGAGATCGATACCCTGTGAACATAGTGGGTTATTATGAACATTAATGGGTTATTATGAATATTAATGGTTATTATGAACATTTTAACGGATTATTATGAACATTGATGGTTACAACGAAAACTTCAGGATTATTGTGAACATCGACGATTAACCTGCCAATGTACGTTGATAACGAAAGCTGCACGACGGCAACGAGATGACTGCCTCAAGGTTAGAGGATTTGATTATTAGTTTGATAACAGGCAGTGGTTAGCTTGTTATCAGGCAGTAGTTAAGGGTTAGCCTGCTATCAGGCAGTAGTTACCCAAGACTCTAATTTGCATGTGTTCGGTGAAGTCTTTGGGATAAACCGGTTTAAAATTCCTGGCGGTCTGTCGTTAGTTGTACATTTGCACACAAGGTTGACTTTTATTCAGATGTTTGCATGGTAATAAAAAATGAGGCACTATTTTGACCTCAGTTAATCAGAATTTCGATAATCACCTGCAATCGAAAGTCAATCTTGATTAAGAGGTTGACATTTGAGCTTTGGGTCACGTGGTTCGTTGCATGCACTCGGTTCGGTTATTGGTGGGTTTCAGTAAGTGTTACAATCCAGACGATGGTCAACATCAGAAATGTTGGCACTTCCTGGAGCAATTCAATTGCTTCAAATACAAGGCTACTACATAAAGTAAAAAACAGTGAACATTATTTTTTCACTCTAGTAACTCGTAGTGAGACCCACTAGCTTAATTTGCGGTCTGTTCGTGCCAATGTTCTTCTTTTTGTGTAAATGTACTGCTTAGGTGTCTCCCGTGTCTGCAGCGCGCAGTTAGAATCCAGAATATAGGCAGACAAGTAAAACCTTGCCAGACTTTAAATTTTTGTTTATATCGATATGTTATGTTCATAAATGTATAGAAATCTCATGAAATGCGTTAGGCTTAGGTTTGGAGTTAAATCTAACCCTATAACCTTAACCTTAATCTATTACATGATCTGTATATTTGTGTACGTAATATATGGGTATAGCCAAAATTTTGTTGAAAAGCTGGCATAGTTTTCCTTCGGTAGGATAACTAAACTGGGTACAAATGGTATCCATAGCTCATAGAGGGTGCAAATGGTACCCGTAAGAAGATTGGTGGATATCGTGGACAGTTAAACACAAAGATCAGTTTAGGACTGTAATGACACAATTAATGTAATAATAAATAGTCTAGGCTTTCATCGCCCGTAGTGCATGTTTATCGCTGGTTTCGAACGTTAGTTTTCTGCCCCGAGTTATATGAAAACAGTTCGCTACCAGAGATTAGGTCCCCCCTCTGTTATGGTGGCTCAACGACTTCGTGGAAGACAATTAACATAAGGCATGCCAACCTTGCCCCTGTTTGTGGAAGCTCACCAGGTGCGATGGCACACTAGGTTAGGTTAAGCTAAGGGCATGACCGAGACTCCACATTCGGGGGTATTCCCTTGCAGGTTTTTGAAAGGTTGTATGCGCGTGCGCACTAGTTATGAAGGTTAGGCAGCTAGAAATAGGGGGCTTTTGCTTATTTCTGCATGCATACTATAAGACTATAATTGATATTATCGTCATGCTTTTGCGCCAGTAACTTTCTGTAAAGTATTTAACACAACAGGAAAATGGAATCTGTTTTTCTGCTGAAAAATACTTATAGAACCAATTCAAAGTGGAAAAAAAGAAATATTGCGAAAAAAAGAGAGAAATAAAAAAGAAAACCCGCGAAGCCACTTTGAATATAAGCCACAATAGTCCAAGAATACTCGTTGCAGAAAAAAAACAACAAAAAAGAAACCATTTTCTGCCTAAAATATCTTGGATTAGGGGCTTAACGATAAGAAACGTAGTTCTCGCTCCAAAGTGGAGAATAGGCTCGTTTCTTTAGGTTGCTAATGCATTGCGCGCGCGCGTCATAAAATTGTACTATAAATTTTCAGTTGAAAAGACTGCCAGGAAAAATAGGGTGTTTTCATGTGTTACTTTGTTGACGGACAAGTTTTCAAAACAATGGTTTTCTAGCTTCCTTGTATTTCGGCACTTTAACTTGTTCCCAAACATAGCAGCCATGAAAACACTCTGCAGATCAAGTTTATCTATGGTCGCAATAGCAACTAGAATGTTTGCCATGTTGCATTCCGTGTTGTCTTGCACTGTCCATACATCAGCTTGGTCGAACCATGGATCATAAAAACACCATGGTCGAACGCAGCTAATTAACATAAGCGGCGCACGCGTGCTGCTGCATTGCGGAGTACAGTCAGTGAGTGTACTCCATGTGCAAATAGTGAAGTGTGCTCTATATATAGTCTTGAAACAAAGTTTAATGCGCAAAGTTTCATGCTTACTAAAATTCAACGCGCTACGTTGCATGCTTAATAAAATTAAGGGCATGAAAATCAGTGCATGAAAATCAGTGCATGCCATATTTGAGTGCGCGCGTTGCAATTTTCTTGCGCGCGACAGCAAAATGCGCCAAAATATAAAAATCTAAGTATAGAAATGCACACATCACATCCTCAAAATGCATCCAAGTGTCCTAACACATTTTACAATGAAATACTGTAAAATATGTTGAGCCGTTGGATTCATTTGCCACGCACCTTGTCCTGAACATGTCAGAAATATTTTCAGGTTTCAAGGTTAAGATAAATACACCTTAGTGGAACAATCTGTTCATAAAAAGGGATATTTGTCTTGCGCTATTTGTAGACTGAATTTTCGGTGGTCTACAATGCTTTTTTGAACATCTCCTGAGATTTTTTAATTTTTTTTTTGCAAGATTCTTACTTTTCTGGGTTTTGGTAGGTTATGGGTAGGTATGGTATATATTGGTAGGTATGGTATATATATGGTAATATAGTTAATAGGTAAGCGGGGTTCCCCTGGGGATTCCGGCATCCGGACTCATAATCACCAAGGTTTTTCACCAGATCTTGCCATGGCACTTCTGGTTTTCCTCGGGTGATTATAAATTTTTTCGTTTGGCAAAATATCTAAAAATTCCAAAACAAAAAACAGTGTCCGTGTTTGGGACGAATTTAGTACTGTATAAAAAAATGAATTATTTTCATGTTGATATGTCCTAAGTGCATGTGTCTTTATATTCTCTGAATGGAGTTGCATTCTCTGAAATATATGCAGCAATTCTATTTCCACATTCCACAGACTCCACTTTCCATATTTTAATAAAAACGTGGTTTGCAAACTGGGGAGCCATCTACATAACTCGGGCATATGTTATTTTTCTCAACAAATGATGTATTGTACTAAGTAATTTACAATGGATCCATAAAAACATCCATACCTCCCGCATGCATGCATGCATGCAGAAAATTAAATTAAAACCTCTTCGAATGTCCTAGTACATTTACAAATCAGAAATAACCCTTTTTCCCCCTCCCCCACCGGATAGCAGAAATTTCCACCTTGGGGATAAGGTTGACTTTTTTTTGTAACGACTCAAGTTTCCTGAATACGAAGTTGCAGATAATATATTAAAATTTTCTAACTGGTATATAATACCACACAATTAAACTTCCTGATCTATACAGTCGCTGATCTATAGTCTTGAAAATTGCAAAACACAGTACTTGTTCGTTTCCGGGTTGAATTCCCAGAACACTGTATTAAAAGTTACCGAAAAAGTAATGTTTGTCCTTTCATGACATATTCTTGCAAAAGTTCCATCAAAGTGTGTGTAAAAAAACTCTGCTAGTGCCTTGTTTTTCACACACACTTTTTGGTGTTTTATATGCCTGTAATAAACACTTTCCAGTTTATTATATATTCACTTAAAGGGGCACTACAGTCACTTTTTAGTCGAAAAGCCACCTTAAGTAGGGGACTCCACAGAGATTCGTTTGGCTGTATCTTACATGTAGTATACACGAGTACTTCCGCACACCAGAAAACGCATGCATGCCGTAGTGTGCATGTCGAGTAGCGACAATAACAAAAAAAAATGTAAACAATTACTTCAGGTGGCTTTTCGACCAAAAAATGACTGTAGGGCCCATTTAAAATTGTGTTAAAAAAACATTTAAAAATGTGAATAAAGTTTGCCTCACTTTACTTTCTAGCACTTTATTGGGTGCCAGTACAGGTCAAGTCCACATCAAAAACAGAATGTTATAAAGTTTGATTAGAAACCTTCTAAATGCGGTGAGACTACTAAAACTACTAATCTGATCTAGTGGCACGCCTTTGCACTTGTTCCAGTTTGATCTTCTGGGAACAATAGTGAGGGGACCAGACTTCACTAGCGTAGCAAAGTTGTGACTTCACATAAGCCAAATATACTGTTTCGTCTGTTTGCCTTTTTAATACACTATCACATCCATCAAGAGAGGAAATAGTACAAACACTTACAGCATTGGTCCAAGTATGCTTAACCCCTTACGTTTACTCCATTTTTTTAAAAAATACAGGGCTTTAAAAAGCCCTTGACAATTGCAAAAAGAAAAACATGTGCTGAGAAAAAGCTAGTTTTGGAACTTTGTGTATATCTCTGTATATATGATTTTTCTGAAAATTTGAGCGGCCATGTTGTTCGAGCCAGAACAAACTTGGTTACATGAAGTAATTTCTGAACGTGAAAACAGACAGACATCCAGTGCTGTATACAGTTCAGACAACTTCGGATTTTCCCGATGTTCGCCCGAAGAGCATATTTCTATAAATTTGAAATAATACTTCATATTTAATATTTTTGTTGATTTTAAAATGTTTAGCGGGCAAATATTGTTGTGTTACAATCGTGGTTGGGTCCAACAATATGTGGAAAGTGAAAATAGCGAAGGTATAAAAGAGATTAAAATTGGATTTAGCGTATTTTTGAAATATTTTACAACCAAATGACCACTGCGCATGACATCTGTGACGTCGTTCATACGGGACTTCACCTTCCCTACAGAGTTTTTGGCGGGAAAATTTGTAATGTTTGGAGAAGACAAGACAGCGCCGCTTCGTGTCATCAAAGGGCATTTTTGTTAACAAATAACCCGCTTATTTTACGTTATAACGACTGGTTAGGTTTGGAAATTATAACTCGATGGACAGGGAAAACGATTCTGTTGTAAAGAGAAAAATACGTGCAGTCATTGACTTAATATTGTGATGTTTAATATTTGTTGTGAAAGACGGCCCGAAATTTCGCTACATCGTTGTACTGGTTTATAAAAATTTCTACTGGAAATTCGACCATGGATAAAGAGACAACGCTTACTGAAAGAACAGCCTGTCTTAATGGTAAGTTTTTAAAGGGTTTTCACTTTTCGATATTTATATTTTTTATAGTTTAAAGATGCTGTATAAATTCTGTATTAAATGTTTGTCTAAACGTTTATACTAATGTATAAAACAAACGTTTTATTTACATTTTGAACTGCTATAGTTGTAAAATATGATATACCAACTGACTTGTACTGTAAATGAATATAAACTCTACGTTTCAATTCGAGAAAGTTCGAAAGATACAAAATTTGAGCAATGTTTATATCTGCGGGCTTCCCCTTTGTTATGAGCAGAACTGATGCGCAGAACGGAGGAAATTCTACACTTACATAAACAGGATAACGTTGATTTCTACATCTCGTTGCTACCCAGTTTACAAACTTAGGTAAATCCCATGCCTATAAAGATTTTTTCTTTGTTCATGGAATATATATACAACTTCACAAAATTTGGGCAATGTTTATATCTGCGGGTTTCCCCTTTGTTATGAGCAGAACTGATGCGAAAAAAGCTCTTCTCTCAAAGCTATACTTTAATTTAATAGAGTCAGTAGACAATTTTGGGTAACGTTGTTTTATACATCTCGTTGCTACCCAAGTTGTCTAAAATTGCAAGGTTTTTTAAATGGCGAGGCTTTCGAAACGTGATGTTTTGTGGCTTTCGAAATGTGATTAGGTTTACGTGTGATTGATACACCGGGTGGAAAATGTAATTTAAAAATGAAAATTAAAGCCCAACAAATGACTTTCAGACAAGACATAACAAAAATATAAAATTTATTGGCTAACGTTTTGTTGTATTGTTCACAACATCTTCAGAGCAATTAAACTTATTTACAAGCATGCACTTTATATATACAAATTTTTAAACGATTTTTTCTGTGTTGGTGTAATGACCCAGGTGAATATGATGCTTGTGACAGCTCTAATTGCTTTAAATTAATGGTTGGATAAGAACACAAGGTCTTGTACTCATGGGACAAAACTCAAAGAAATAAAAATTAGAAAATTTAAAAGAAATACAGTATTCCTTCATTACCTTGTGTTCTTACTCAATCATTAATTCAAAGCAAGTAGAGCTGTCAAATTACTACAATAGCTAATTTGAATTTGAAAGGGTTCAGTTTTTTTATACACCCTGTATATATACACACTCAGAGTAACATCACAAGCATCAAATTTTTAAACAGTTACATTATTCAAATAAGCAAATAAGAGGAACAAATAAGAATTTTGCAGTTGATGGTTTAATACTGTTACTGCACGTTTGCAATTTGTTTGCAATTTGCCAGAGCAATCATTACGATATTGCAATGTTGTGCCCGCAATGTAACACCGGATTTGACTGTAATTACATATGTTATATGTCTATCTAAGGTTCAACGTTCTACGGCACTATATAAGTTTGAAATCTGGGCATATAAGCCATGTTTTATACACTTCTAAAGAATAAATTATTAACCAATTACATTGTTTGATTCAATTAGTAATTTGAATCACACCATGATAATTATTAAACAAATCTTATATCGTAATATTGTTTAATTCACTTTTATTAAATGTGTTATCTGGGTTTTATTAACTGGGTCATATATGCATCCTGGTGAGCCTTACTTTATTATTTCACTCTGTATATAAATTTCCACTTGATAATTATCACTTATTTACTGAGACTGAGGGAAACAGTGTGTTTTGTGTACCCGAGACCGTCGATGTTTCCCGAGGAGAACAAATGAACGTAAATACATGAAATATTTTATTGTTAAAACGTTATATTAAACACTGACTACACTGCAGTTACTTAAAGCGAAAGTTTTAATTACGTACTAGGAATGTCCAAATGTCACATCTTCATGTGATGGCGCACGTGAATTTTTTTGTTATTCGGCGGTCAATAACGTATTGTTTCCCTCTCGCGCTGTTGCGAGGGAGACAGCCTAATTTTGTCACTCTCATGTGATATGCTCTCAACCAATAAAACACTAGAAAAATGCGACTATTGATATATAATAATACTATTTATCTAGCAGACCTTTCAACTATTATTCAATTGAGTGAGGCAAGGCAACAAAATCTTGATATTCTCCCTTTAACCCATGGAGCCGGTGTGCCCCTAGTGTGCCCTACTTAATTATTTTTTACTTAAGTTCTTTGTATGTTTGCATGGCGATAAAATATATAATAGTTTTGTTTGTGGAAACACCACGTAAATTACTGAAAAAAAAAATTTATTTAATTAAATAAATTTAAAATAAATAATAATAATAACTAATTATTAATAATAATAATATTTAATAATTTTAAATTTATTTATTAAAATAAATTTATTTATTTAATAAATTTATTTATTTATTTTTATTTTATTTATTTATTTAATTTATTTAATTAAATAAATTATTTATTATACATTTTTTTTATAATAAATAAATTTATTACTTTTATTACTGCAGTAATAAATTTACGTGGTGTTTCCACAAACAAAACTATTGTATATTTTTTACTTGTCTAACGTCAGATGATTTTGCTTGTCAATGAGGAAGCTCTGCAGCTTAGTAGGGTTAACCCATTGAACCGCAATGTGCCCTATATATAGTTATTTTTTACTTTGATTTATTTAACGCCAGACGATTTTGCTTGTCAATGGGGAAGCTCTGTAGCTTAACAGGGTTAATGAGTAAAATCACCTGCCATAGTCATATTGCAATAATAAAGTTAGGGGCATTATTGCAGCTAATTCCGTTAATCTTCATCTTAGGCAACAGCAATTCAACAAAATACCAATGTGCACAAGCCAATCAAGTCCAGCGTATTGTCATTTTGGATGTTGTAAAAGAGTTCAGTTGGATTTGCAGATGAAGTACTTGAAAAGGTCAGTTTCAATTACAGTATAATTGTGTATTGTTACAGGGCTCGAAATAATGTTTCCAACATTCCCGATCATGCTGATTAAGCGGTCATGATTTCCTGCTGATCAAATGAAAATCCAATCAGTATAGGTTCTGTTTATATGTTCTGCGGCGCTAAAATTGAGTTGGCCGGTGATCACCTTGACCGGCGACCCTCCACCCATTATTTCACGCCCTGGGTTGTTACAAGTTGTCAACAAGTTGTTGCAAACCTGTTGACAACTCGTAACAAGCAGTGCGAATACATCTTGTTGACAGCTTAATGGCAGACTTGTTACCAGATATGAGATTTTTGTGTGTGTAGGTTTACAACATATTTTTCAATAATTCAAAATTTGCCCTAAATCACCCCAAACTTTTTGGAAGTGATCAAAAATGTTTTCTTTCATCAAAATAATCACTTTCAACATATAAAAACATAATTGTTTTTGTTTGTGGAAACACCACGTAAATTTATTACTAAATTTACTTGGTGTTTCCACAAACAAAAACAATTATATTTTATCGCCATGCAACTTATATAAAAACATGTTTTGCAACTTACATTTAAAAATTTGAATCAAATACCAAACGGGGGAGAGGGGCCACAACAAACTCGTCCAGATTTTTTAGTTATTTTTCAATAATTCTCAAATATTCTCCCAAATCACTCCAGACCTTCTGAAAGTGATTGAAAATGTTTTCTTTGGTCTAAATGATGACTTTTGACTTGTAAGAACATATTTACAAAATTTTAAAATTTTGGTCAACTGCCAGAGGGCGGGGGGAGGGGGCACAGTGATGCCTGGTACTTGAGTTATTTTAATTTCAACAGTTTAAAATTTTCCCCAAATCACTCCAACAAAACATGTTGTACAAAATTTGAAAATTTCAATGAAATACCAAGAGGGGACCACGGGCATCCTCTCAGCTTTTCAATTTTTCAAACCATTGATTCAATCTAAGGTGTCATATGAACTCAATATTAATGTTTTCTTTTCCAGGCAAGACAGATTACTTTATGAAAGTGACATGTTTTTTAAGAACAGATTTGTGGGTGACAAGAAAAGAAAGAAGCCCTAATAATGTTAACATATAAGATAGTGAATGGAGACAATCATTCCGTCTGAGGCGCACTGAGAACTATAACTAAACAAACCTTACCAAATCAGGTATTATAGAAACTATAACTTTCTTTCTGTATATGATAATTAATGCAAGTATTCATCATATTTTAAATACAAAAATGAGAAAATCGCCCATTGGATTCTGAGGCTCTCTTGATCTTTTTAAGCAGCAATGCGCCCTGATTGATGCCCCTACTCTATTATTTTACTCTGTGTAACGCCAGATTATTTTATGTCAGATGATTTTACTTGTAGTAAGGATTTAATGGTGAGCGGGCGAGAATTGTATGTGGTACATCCTATTAGCCCATTATTGCCCTTTCCTTAATTCTCCAAAACTAAAGGTGTTAGCTCTTATCTTTTATGAACAAAAAATATAAGCTTAAGCGGTCAGCTTTTACTTTTCGTCCATTTCTAGCCACTTTTTTGTCTTTAAAAAGCGGGGTAAAATTGCCAAAAGTGCAGCTTTTTAATAATTTCACCCGAGACGAGAATGAGTTAAGTAGAATAAAAAAAGTTAAAGTAAGCGTCGCCAAGACGGTCTAATGGTAAGGACAATTATGTGTTGCAAGTGCGTGAAGCCAGGTTCGATTCCTGGTTCTATCAAAAGCATTTTAATGTCAGGCATTGTTTTTTTTTAATTTCACCCGAGACGAGAATGAGTTAAGTAGAATAAAAAGCAGTTTAAGTAAGAGTAGCCTAGACGGTCTAGTGGTAAGGACAATTATGTGTTGCAAGTGCGTGAAGCCAGGTTCGATTCCTGGTTCTATCAAAAGCATTTTAATGTCAGGCATTGTTTTTTTTAATTTCACCCGAGACGAGAATGAGTTAAGTAGAATAAAAAGCAGTTTAAGTAAGAGTAGCCTAGACGGTCTAGTGGTAAGGACAATTAAGTGTTGCAAGTGCGTGAAGCCAGGTTCGATTCCTGGTTCTATCAAAAGCATTTTAATGTCAGGCATTGTTTTTTTTAATTTCACCCGAGACGAGAATGAGTTAAGTAGAATAAAAAGCAGTTTAAGTAAGAGTAGCCTAGACGGTCTAGTGGTAAGGACAATTAAGTGTTGCAAGTGCGTGAAGCCAGGTTCGATTCCTGGTTCTATCAAAAGCATTTTAATGTCAGGCATTGTTTTTTTTAATTTCACCCGAGACGAGAATGAGTTAAGTAGAATAAAAAGCAGTTTAAGTAAGAGTAGCCTAGACGGTCTAGTGGTAAGGACAATTAAGTGTTGCAAGTGCGTGAAGCCAGGTTCGATTCCTGGTTCTATCAAAAGCATTTTAATGTCAGGCATTGTTTTTTTTAATTTCACCCGAGACGAGAATGAGTTAAGTAGAATAAAAAGCAGTTTAAGTAAGAGTAGCCTAGACGGTCTAGTGGTAAGGACAATTAAGTGTTGCAAGTGCGTGAAGCCAGGTTCGATTCCTGGTTCTATCAAAAGCATTTTAATGTCAGGCATTGTTTTTTTTAATTTCACCCGAGACGAGAATGAGTTAAGTAGAATAAAAAAGAGATAAAGTAAGAGTAGCCTAGACGGTCTAGTGGTAAGGACAATTAAGTGTTGCAAGTGCGTGAAGCCAGGTTCGATTCCTGGTTCTATCAAAAGCATTTTAATGTCAGGCATTGTTTTTTTTAATTTCACCCGAGACGAGAATGAGTTAAGTAGAATAAAAAAGAGATAAAGTAAGCGTAACCAAGACGGTCTAATGGTAAGGACAATTAAGTGTCGCAAGTGCGTGAAGCCAGGTTCGATTCCTGGTTGTATCAAAACCATTTAATGTCAGGCATCGTTTTTTAATAATTTCACCCGAGACGAGAATGAGTTAAGTAGAATAAAAAAGGAGTTAAAATAAGTGTAGGCAATACCGTCTAGTGGTAAGGCCAATAATTAAGTGTTGCAAGTGCGTGAAGCCAGGTTCGATTCCTGGTTGTATCAAAAGCATTTTAATGTCAGGCATCGTCGTTAATTAATTCAAACCGACACGAGAATTGGGTGCCTCATGAGCACGATCTTGCTTATTAACTTGACTCCACTTACCAACTTGACTTGCTTACTTGACTCTACTCAAGAGAACACGTTAGAATAAGATTTATTTTGTTTTCCCCGAAAAAATAAAAAATAAATCGTTTGCGTGCTTGTGCCATCGTTTGGGTGCTCTCCTCTGTGCCATGGCACAGCCCACCCAAACCATTCTTTTTTTATTTTTTCGACGAAAATAAAACAAATCGTATTCTAACGTTTTCCCTTGCTCTAGCAAAAACCTGAATTCACCACAGTCTGAAAATTGTATATTTGGAATCTACGGTCAATAGGCTTTCTGTTGATGCCTCATTCTTGCATAACTAGACAGTCCGTGGACATAGAAAGCAAGTTTTCCCAGCTGTGTAATCGAAAAAGACGTGAAAGTTAATATTATGCGCTTTCGAACCTTGTGCTCTATTGAATTTCAAGGCCCCTGTAGGAAAACTTGAATTTGGCACGGTCTGAAAATTGTATTTTTGGAATCTACGGTCAATAGGCTTTCTGTTGATGCCTCATTCTTGCATAACTAGAGAGTCCGTGGACATAAAAAGCAAGTTTTTCCAGCGGCATGTGTAATCGAAAAAGACGTGAAAGTTAATATTATGCCTTTTCGAACCTTATGTTCTATTGAATTTCATGGCCCCTGTAGCAAAAACTTGAATTTGGCACGGTCTGAAAATTGTATTTTTGGAATCTACGGTCAATAGGCTTTCTGTTGATGCCTCATTCTTGCATCACTAGATTTGTCCGTGGACATAAAAAGCAAGTTTTTCCAGCTGCATGTGTAATCGAAAAAGACGTGAAAGTTAATATGCCTTTTCGAACCTTATGTTCTATTGAATTTCATGGCCCCTGTAGCAAAAACTTGAATTTGGGCTGGTATGAAAATTGTATTTTTGGAATCTATGATCAATAGGCTTTCTGTTGATGCCTTACTACGAGTAAGTTACGTCCACGGACAAGTCTAGTGATGTACGAACATCACTAGACTTGTCCGTGGACGTAAAAAGCAAGTTTTTCCAGCTGCATGTGTAATCGAAAAAGACGTGAAAGTTGATATTATGCGGTTTCGAACCTTATGTTCTATGCGCTTGTCACTTTACAAAAATGAAATAAGCGGCGAAAATGGACGAAAATTAAGGCTATAACCTTACTTTTTTCTTATTTTTTGCCACTTTTTCAAAAATTAAATGAGTCGCGAAAAATGGACGAAAAGTTAAGGGTATAGCCTTACTTTTTTGCCATTTTTTGACACCTGTTCAAAATGAAATAAGCGGCGAAAAGTGAACGAAAAGTTAAGGCTATAGTCTTACTTTTTTGTCATTTTTGCCACTTTTTCAAAAGGTTCCTGGCGCTGAGGACAATGTTCCAGGCGCTGAGGACAAGGTTCCGGTGAGGACAAGGTTCCTAGCGTGGTACCCGTGTGATTGAGGAAGTGGTTTCCGTGTGATTGAGCCTACTGTGTCAATCCCACAGGTATTTTTCTATTCTTTTAAAAAAAAACGTCTTGGGCTACCTGTGCCTTGTCTTGGGCTACTGTTCCAACGCACAGGTAACCCAAGACATTGATTTTTTTATTTCTTTCGACGGTGAAGGCAAGGTTCCTGGTGTGGTTCCCGTGTGATCGAGGACGTGGTTCTCGTGTGATTGAGGACGTGGTTCTCGTGTGATTGAGGACGTGGTTCCCGTGTGATTGAGGACGTGGTTCCCCTTGTGATTGATTATTTTTCTATTTCTTTTGAAAAAAAAAAGTCTTGGGCTACCTGTGCCTTGTCTTGGGTTACCTGTGTCCAACGCACAGGTAACCCAAAACATCGATTTTTTTATTTCTTTCGACGGTGAGGACAAGGTTCCTGGTGTGGTTCCCGTGTGATCGAGGACGCGGTTCTCGTGTGATTGAGGACGTGGTTCCCCTTGTGATTGATTATTTTTCTATTTCTTTTGAAAAAAAAAACGTCTTGGGCTACTGTGCCTTGTCTTGGGCTACCTGTGTCCAACGCACAGGTAACCCAAGACATCGATTTTTTTATTTCTTTCGACGGTGAGGACAAGGTTCCTGGTGTGGTTCCCGTGTGATTGAGGACGTGGTTCCCCTTGTGATTGATTATTTTTCTATTTCTTTTGAAAAAAAACGTCTTGGGCTACTGTGCCTTGTCTTGGGCTACCTGTGTCCAACGCACAGGTAACCCAAGACATCGATTTTTTTATTTCTTTCGACGGTGAGGACAAGGTTCCTGGTGTGGTTCCCGTGTGATTGAGGACGTGGTTCCCCTTGTGATTGATTATTTTTCTATTTTTTGGAAAAAAACCGTCTTAGGCTACCTGTGTCTTGTCTTGGGCTGCCGTGTCCAACGCACAGTGACCCAAGACCATCTCGCCTGCACTTGTTTTATGTCCTTTTTTATTCCACTTAACCCATTCTTCTCTCAGGTGGAATTAATTAACGACGCCCGTAAATGCTCTTGATACAACCCGGAATCGAACCTGGCATCACGCACTTGCAACACTTCGTCCTTACCACTAGACCATCTCGCCTGCACTTGTTTTATGTCCTTTTTTATTCCACTTAACCCATTCTTCTCTCAGGTGGAATTAATTAACGACGCCCGTCGCTAAAATGCTCTTGATACAACCAGGAATCGAACCTGGCACCACGCACTTGCAACACTTCGTCCTTACCACTAGACCGTCTCGCCTGCACTTGTTTTACGTTCTTTTTTATTCCACTTAACTCATTCTTCTCTCAGGTGGAATTAATTAACGACGCCCGTCGCTAAAATGCTCTTGATACAACCCGGAATCGAACCTGGCATCACGCACTTGCAACACTTCGTCCTTACCACTAGACCATCTCGCCTGCACTTGTTTTATGTTCTTTTTTATTCCACTTAACCCATTCTTCTCTCAGGTGGAATAATTAACGACGCCCGTCGCTAAAATGCTCTTGATACAACCAGGAACCGAACCTGGCACCAAGCACTTGCAACACTTCGTCCTGACCACTAAACCGTCTCGCCTGCACTTGTTTTACGTTCTTTTTTATTCCACTTAACTCATTCTTCTCTCAGGTGGAATTAATTAACAACGACGCCCGTCGCTAAAATGCTCTTGATACAATCCGGAATCGAACCTGGCATCACGCACTTGCAACACTTCGTCCTTACCACTAGACCGTCTCGGCTGCACTTGTTTTATGTTCTTTTTTATTCCACTTAACTCATTCTTCTCACAGGTGGAATTAATTAACAACAACGCCGGTCGCTAAAATGCTCTTGATACAACCAGGAATCGAACCTGGCATCACGCACTTGCAACACTTCGTCCTTACCACTAGACCGTCTCGCCTGTACTTGTTTTATGTTCTTTTTTATTCCACTTAACTCATTCTTCTCTCAGGTGGAATTAATTAGCAACGACGCCCGTCGCTAAAATGCTCTTGATACAACCAGGAATCGAACCTGGCATCACGCACTTGAAACACAAAAATGAAATAAGACTAGACCGTCTCGCCTGTACTTGTTTTATGTTCTTTTTTATTCCACTTAACTCATTCTTCTCTCAGGTGGAATTAATTAGCAACGACGCCCGTCGCTAAAATGCTCTTGATACAACCAGGAATCGAACCTGGCATCACGCACTTGAAACACAAAAATGAAATAAGTGGCGAGAAATGGACGAAAAGTTAAGGCTATAGCCTTACTTCTTAGCCATTTTTTGTCATTTTTTCAAAAATGAAATAATTGGCAATTTCTTTTTTCCTGTTTTTTTTCCCATTGATGAAAAATGGCAAAAGTCGCTAAAAATGGACGAAGAGTTATGGCTATAAGCCTTACTTTTTTGCTGTATTTTGCTCACTTATGAAAAATGGCAAAAGTCGCTAAAAATGGATGAAAAGTTAAGGCTATATATAGCCTTACTTTTTTGCTGTTTTTTGCCCATTTATGAAAAATGCCAAAAGTCGCTAAAAATGGACGAAAAGTTAAGGCTATATATAGCTTTACTTTTTTGCTGTTTTTTGCCCATTTATGATCAATGGAAAAAGTCGCTAAAAATGGATGAAAAGTTAAGGCTATAGCCTTACTTTTTTGCTGTTTTTTGCCCATTTATGAAAAATGCCAAAAGTCGCTAAAAATGGACGAAAAGTTAAGGATATAGCCATACTTTTTTGCTGTTTTTTGCCCATTTATGAAATGCCAAAAGTCGCTAAAAATGGACGAAAAGTTAAGGCTATAGCCTTACTTTTTTGCTGTTTTTTACCCATTTATGAAAAATGTAAAAAGTCGCTAAAAATGGACGAAAATTTAAGGCTATAGCCTTACTTTTTTGCTGTTTTTTGCCCATTTATGAAAAATGGCAAAGTCGCTAAAAATGGACGAAAAGTTAAGGCTATAGCCTTACTTTTTTGCTGTTTTTTGCCCATTTATGAAAAATCAAAAAAGATGCTAAAAATGGACGAAAAGTTAAGGCTATAGCCTTACTTTTTTGTTGTTTTTTGCCCACTTATGAAAAGTGGAAAAAGACGCTAAAAATGGACGAAAAGTTAAGGCTATAGCCTTACTTTTTTGCTGTTTTTTGCCCATTTATGAAAAATGAAACAAGTCGCTAAAAATGGACGAAAAGTTAAGGCTATAGCCTTACTTTTTTGTTGTTTTTTGCCGACTTATGAAAAGTGGAAAAAGACGCTAAAAATGGACGAAAAGTTAAGGCTGTAGCCTTACTTTTTTGCTGTTTTTTTCCTATTTATGAAAAATGGAAAAAGTCGCTAAAAATGGACGAAAAGTTAAGGCTATAGCCTTACTTTTTTGCTGTTTTTTGCCCATTTATGAAAAATGGCAAAAGTCGCTAAAAATGGACGAAAAGTTAAGGCTATAGCCTTACTTTTTTGCTGTTTTTTGCCCATTTATAAAAAATGGAAAAAGTCGCTAAAAATAGACGAAAAGTTAAGGCTGTAGCCTTACTTTTTTGCTGTTTTTTTCCCATTTATGAAAAATGGAAAAAGTCGCTAAAAATGGACGAAAGGTTAAGGCTATAGCCTTACTTTTTTGCTGTTTTTTGCCCATTTATAAAAAATGGAAAAAGTCGCTAAAAATAGACGAAAAGTTAAGGCTATAGCCTTACTTTTTTGCTGTTTTTTGCCCATTTATGAAAAATCAAAAAAGATGCTAAAAATGGACGAAAAGTTAAGGCTATAGCCTTACTTTTTTGCTGTTTTTTGCCCATTTATGAAAAATGGCAAAAGTCGCTAAAAATGGACGAAAAGTTAAGGTTATAGCCTTACTTTTTTGCTGTTTTTTGCCCATTTATGAAAAATCAAAAAAGATGCTAAAAATGGACGAAAAGTTAAGGCTATAGCCTTACTTTTTTGTTGTTTTTTGCCCATTTATGAAAAATGGAACAAGTCGCTAAAAATGGACGAAAAGTTAAGGCTATAGCCTTACTTTTTTGTTGTTTTTTGCCGACTTATGAAAAGTGGAAAAAGAATCGGAGCAAGTCTAATATTCATGTTGCCACAAATAACGTCAAATCAACATTATCAGTTTCACCGCTAAAAATGGACGAAAAGTTAAGGCTATAGCCTTACTTTTTTGTTGTTTTTTGCCGACTTATGAAAAGTGGAAAAAGACGGAGCAAGTCTAATATTCATGTTGCCACAAATAACGTCAAATCAACATTATCAGTTTCACCCACCCACTCCAGATAATGTTGATCGATATTCAGTCGTATTTTGACGTTTCTATTTATGATACAAAATCTGTACTGTGTTAGTTACTTTGGACATTAATTGTCAAATTGCCACAAGATAACGTCAATAAGTTCACATAAAAACCCACCCTCCCACTCATAATGTTGCGTTGACTATTGCGATAATTACCAAATGCTAGCCGGAAGACCAAACCTGCCAAAGATACCTGCGAAAGCCAGCCGAGTAAAGGCCTAGGTCTAGGCTGCTAGTACTGAATTCGAAGTGTAATTTCTATTTACAACTTTTTTACTGTAAAACTTTTGTAATTTGTTTGCTGCTTCTAAAACGTACGCCCTTCCATTGTTTATAAATAATTGAACTTCTAATGAGGTATTAAAGAAAGGACAAGATGCGGAAATCTATAGCATTTTTTGGAGGAGCTTTGTTTGTCGTGATGTCTTTATCAATTTATTTGGTGGTGGACCAATTATCAAGAATGCCGAGTTATGAAAGCGTCATTGAAGCTCAGGTATAAATGTCGACAATGTCGAGTCTTGGTGAAGGCTGTGTTTCACGAAACACACGTTGCCAGCGCTTAAAAATCTTTAGAAATGATTGATTTGTCTGAACGAAATTGTGACAAAGAAAATATAAACAAACTGTCATGATGAACCATCTGTGTTCTTTGTCCACATGACATTCACACAGCCAGTTCTTGACAGATGACTTGATGTGCATATTGAGTAGAGCTGCTTTCATCCGTTCATGTTCATAATCAATTGATATTTGCATGCCAGTCAGGTAGACATAATAAATAGAATAGAACCTAATGTTTCTTCTGGAGATGAGCTTTGATGCGCACAAAACTGGCATAAAACTCTGCACGCTATTCGGTGCAACACATGACTGACCAGCATGACGCATGCTTCCATTGATAGACTAAATATGTTTTCATAAACAAAAGTCGATGAATTGAGTTTGTGTTAATGACGGAACTTTGTTACAATGCTCCTCCATAGGTGAACAGAAAGGTAATTGAACCTTTAATGAAGATTGAGAAAGATATGGATCGACTTGAAGAGAAGATAAAACTATCGCAGAAAGCTGTCAACCAGTTGCAAGGCGATTCCTTGAAACTGGATGACAACACTGTTGCCAATCAACGAGAAACTGTTCCTGATGTTGATGGCGACACTAGTCCAAGAAAATCATTCCAGTCTCTTGTGTTTGTTGATAAAGAAAATGATGATGGATGTAAATTCTCTAAGACACCTTCTGGACTGTCTTCCGATGTTAAGGCAAGTGAAATGTTTCTGATGCATGATTTTCAGGTCACAAGTAAAGTTGTCTGCAGTTATAGAGAGAGTAAAATAACACAGTAGGGTGCAATCCAATTTAATGGGTTAATAATTAGTTGCTTATATTTGCCAAGAAGTTACATTTCATGGCCTGTCTGTGAGCATCAAAGCAGATTAATCTATTAGCTACTTCAGTGCCAGTATAATAGAAAATAACTCATGCCTTAGGTAGGCCAGGTGTGATAAATAACCTAAACCAAAGACCAGTAACTCATTGTGCAACATTGCTACATGCATAACATAATTCATTGTATTTTTATATCATAGATGTTAGATGTGTATGACTTTCTTCCATTCGATAACCCAGATGGAGGGGCCTGGAAACAAGGATGGAATGTTCAGCGAGACAAAACTGAACAACACTTGGATGTCTTCGTTATCCCTCATTCACACAATGATCCTGGTATGTACACATTGATCCTAGTTTTGTACCTTAGATAGCCTTCATTTACTTTATTATTTCACTCTGTCCAACACCAGACAATTTTACTTGTCAAGGGGAGAGCGCTTTCTGGTACTCAATGGGTTAGTCTTCACCATATTAAATGCTAATTTGTGCTCTGACCTCAGGTTGGATAAAAACACTGGATGTATACTACCAGGATCAGACGAGACATATTTTAGACAATGTTGTTGATGCATTAGCATTAGACAAACGAAGGAAATTTATCTGGGCAGAAATGTCATATCTTTCAATGTGGTGGGAAGATGCTGATGAAAGACGGAAGAAATTATTCAAAGAGTATGTCATAAATCTACACCATTGTTTTAAATGGCATAGTGCCTAGAGATTTATCATAGCGGATACTAATTGTTACCCTAACCTGATTTTTAAGCCTTTCCATAAAACTAACAACCATTACTATATCTGTATAGGCAAGTGAAAAATGGTCAGCTAGAGATAGTTACTGGTGGTTGGGTAATGAATGATGAAGCAAACACTCATTACTTTGCTATGATTGATCAACTCATTGAAGGACAACAGTGGTTGCAAGCAAATATAGGTATACTCATAACTATCTCGAATGTGGCGGTCCAATGTGTAGGATGTTTTTATTGAAAAAGAAAATCTGCAAAAGATTATGAGTGATTGTCTTGAGAGTTTCTAATGTCTTTAACTTCAATTGATTGTGTTGCTGTATTTTGAACAGGTGTTAAACCTCGTGCAGGCTGGGCTATTGATCCGTTTGGTCACACTCCAACCATGGCCTACATTTTAAAGAGATCAGGTTTTCATTCAATGTTGATTCAAAGGACACATTATGCTGTGAAGAAATATCTGGCTAGGAGAAAAAAATTGGAATTTATGTGGAGACAAAACTGGGGTATGATTTGAAAACTATTTAGTATAGGAAAGTGGTTAGTCACAGATTGATTGTAAATTGAAAGTATGCTATTTCTTAGACCATTCTTCAACTACTGATATGTTCTGTCATATGATGCCCTTCTACAGTTATGATGTACCACACACCTGTGGACCTGAACCTGCGGTATGTGTTGTACCAGCATATTTGATCACCTGTAAAACAGTAGTTGTGAAAACCTATGTCATTTGTTTCTTGTCTTTCCAGATTTGCTGTCAGTTTGATTTCCGACGTCTTACTGGAGGTGGTATAAGTTGTCCTTGGCATATACCTCCCGTGAAAATTGATAACAATAACGTGGCTGAAAGGTAGTATTGTGTTGTTCTGAACCAATCAGAATACAAAGATTGTTTTTCTAACCCTGGCTGTTTTTTAGAGCAGAGAAGCTACTGGATCAATACCGAAAGAAGGCAACACTTTATAAAAGCAATATTGTATTGATTCCTCTTGGAGATGACTTCAGATATGAAATGAAGTTTGAAACAACAGAGCAATTTTCAAACTATCAGGTTAGTCCCACTTATTTATGAATGTAGTAAGTTCAACATAAACTACCAATGCCACATGTGAATATCTGATCATAAAATAAGCACACTGACTTTGAATTATCACCAAGAAACTGATAGTTTTTCTGAATCTTCTTTATAGAAATTGTTTGACTATATGAATTCTCATCCGGAACTCAAAGTCAAGGTAAGTTTTGCCTCGATTAACACACAAGAAAAAGTTAAGAAGTGAAAACTAACCATGTTTTCTGTAGGCTCAGTTTGGTACACTGTCAGATTACTTTGATAAACTGTGGAAGAAAACTGGTGCGAAGCCTGGGACCCAACCTTTAGATTATCCAACTTTAAGTGGAGACTTCTATACTTATGCTGACAGGTTTGTCAAGTTTTGTGTAATGTAATGTTATATTGGAATTATTTAAATCATGTCATTCATATATTACTGTGATTTATATATAGGGATGACCATTACTGGAGTGGATACTATACAACTAGACCATTTTATAAAAACATGGATCGCGTCTTGGAATCAAGACTTAGGTGACTAACTGTCCTTAACTCTCTTGTTTACAACATGCTTTACCAGAATTTCTAATCTTCGTGTCACTGTTGTGTTTCCACAGAGCTGCAGAGATTATTTATCATCTTGCTTACTCTCATGCCCGCAAGGAAGGAGTGCCATCATTCCCCTCCAGCAATTTATTCCACCTGCTGATGCAGGCCAGAAGGAACTTGGGACTGTTTCAACATCATGATGGAATCACAGGGACGGCTAAAGATCATGTTGTGGTTGATTATGGATTCAGGTAAGTGACAGGCACAAACTATTGGAGGTTTGACAATAAATTGTGAACATAATAGTGACTCAATTTTGCTGGAAAACTCTTGAATTTTCTGTTTAGGCTACATCGTTCTCTTCAAGACACAGCTCGCATTATAGAAGATGCGTCTTATTTCTTGTTGCATGAATCAAGAAACGATTATAAACCAAATGACGAGACATTGACCATGGTTCAATATGTAAGTACAGCTGAGTCAAAGTGGCGTTCTTCATCACAATCTCATCATTTCATTTTGTTTAGGATGAAGAGAGGAAAGGTCAAGATGGCTTCCCCACAAGAAGAATCCTTCCAATGAAAAACTCTAAACCAAGGTAAGATCCCAAAACGTCTGAAACACGGAGAGAATGTCCCCAGTTGTCTACATGATCGTCTTGGAAAAAGGTTGGAGTGATTAAATTTAGTACTGAAAATGTTTCGAGTATAAATCTTACCTGCGTATGTGTAAACCTCGACTTTTTCGTTAAGGAAAGTAACGCTGTATAATTCTTTGGAGGACGATCGTGTCCAAGTTGTCAGTGTTTATGTTTCAACACCAAAAATCAAGGTAGTTATAATGAGATATAGTAATCAAAGCCAATGAGAGCGTTATTTACGACCGATCTCGGGAATATCTCCATTCCCCTACCACATGAATCCAGCAGTAATTTTTTTCACTAGGTTACAAATTTCAGTGGACAATTGGTTAATTTTCAAGTTAGTCCAGTATTTGATAATGATTTTAACCCGGTACCTGACAGTTACCAGGTGAGTGTGAAGACGATTGTGCGTTTTTTAACTAAATTGATAATCCAGAAGAAAAACAAATTATCAATGTGCGAGTGGAAAGAAAATTTTCTTTCTCGTTCAAGGTTCATTTCGTGGCGCGCATTCCACCATTGGGACTGGCAACCTACACCATTGAAGAAACATCAAGTGCAAGCTCACTTAGTTCTGTTTCTCTTTATCACTTTGTGGGCGATGTCTTTGTAGAGTATGTATTATTCTTTCTTATCACTTTGTGGGCGATGTCTTTGTAGAGTATGTATTATTCTTTCTTATCACTTTGTGGGCGATGTCTTTGTAGAGTATGTATCTTATCACTTTGTGAGCGATGTCTCTGCAGAGTATGTAATATTCTTGTTTTTGAGGGGGTTTAGTGTGGGAATGAGATGTGCATTCATGGAATTATGTGCTTTTTCATAATTGATACAACCCTATCCCTAATCCTTGTGACGTGATTTCGGAAAATGAAAAGTTATCCAATTCACGACATTCTTCACACGAGGTTTTATCGTTGCTTGCAGTAACTCCTTCACAGTGGAACGTAAGGATTGGAGTGGAGGAGATATCGTCTTGGAAAATGATCAACTACATATTACATTTGATAGTTCACATGGAATGATGACGGTAAGTTTTGCTTAGACTCTGAATGATTTCTAACAATTTAGGGGCCATTCACAAAGGATGTCCGAGCCGAGGGGGGGGGGGGGGGGGGGGTTTGGAAATTCAGGACAAACTCGGACATAGGGGGGGAGGAGGGGTTTTTAGCAATCCGGATGTCCGAAATTTAAAAAATTTCAAAAACAAATTTCTTTTCCCTCTATTTTGAGCAGTCCTTCCCATTGTGAAATTGGTATTTTGACTATGCGGTTAACACTAGATTTTGTTTTAATTAGTAATTTATACGTTTTTGTGTTCACATTTACAGTTATAAAAAGTTCTAAAAGTAAAAAAAGTTTTTTAATCTTGATATATACAAGGTTGCGTGAGTTTTTGCGAGGCATGGCGGATGTCCGGGGGGAGGGTCACTAATTCGGACAATGCCGGACAAGGGGGGAGGGGGGGGGTCTGAAAATCCATCATTTGGCCGGACATCCTTTGTGAATGGCCCCTTATAAATTCCTATTGGCATCTTCTATTGTAGAAACTAACAACAGTTCAAGATGGTAAAACTCTAGACTTGCTCTTGGCTTTCATGACGTACGGTACTACTCATACCGCTGACAGGAGTGGAGCTTACTTGTTTTTACCTGATGGCCCTGCTCAAGTAAGTTTGAATATTTGAAATCAACCAAACACAACAGTTGTTACAAAAGTTGATATGGTGGGGAATGGTAAATAGATGATTAGTAACATTACGAATGGTCATACTTAGTCATGTCATTTGTCACTGAAAAGCCGTAATAGGGAGTGAGCTCAGTTATCTGTAATTTTGTAGCTATTTTGTCGCCGCCTAAATTACAGTAAACATTTCAGCAAGTGAACATTGAGTCCAACTGTAACAAGGTTTAACATGCTGGCATCTCTCATTCAAAGTATTTTACTCTATGTTTTTAATATTTCTATCCAGCCACGCATCGGATCTCACTGTAAGATGATTGTATTCAAAGGAAAAGTGATCAATGAGCTCACTGTAAAACTACCGCTGGTCCAACATACCGTCAGGCTGTATAATATTCCAGGTATGGACGTGTTGTAGCCATGGTGTCCACGGACAACAGCATCACCCTGCATTAGTAATGCTTCTTTATATTTGATGTTTAGGTCCAGAAGGGATGACAGTGGACATTGAGAATGCTGTGGATATACGAGATGAGCGTAACAAGGTATCGAAATGTTTTTAAAATCATGAAGGAGGTCACGTAGTCTGTCTTCCATTTTTCTTAGAAAACCGTCTGGGTAACGACACAAGATTGTGTGTATCGTTTTGTCACAAGCTAGGCAAGCTTTTCAATCAATAAACATTTCGTTTTAGGAACTTGCTATGCGATTTACAACTAATATTCAAAACAACGATGCGTTTTTCACTGACTTAAATGGATTCCAGGTATTATTCATGTCGTTTGATACTATTTTACTAATTCTCTTCAAAATGTTCTTGATGAGACATGATCCTAACCCTTGCTTAAATTCAAACCCGAGCTCTTTCAACTATTGTTGTAGATGCAACTCCACAGGACGTTAACAAAGCTTCCCTTGCAAGCAAACTTCTATCCAATGCCTAACTCAGCCATCATTCAGGATAAAACAAATCGCCTCACTTTACACTCCGCCCAGGCGAATGGCGTGGCTAGTCTGAAGTCAGGTAAGTTGGTTCCAAATCTTCTCTGTAATCAATTGTAAACAAGTTGTTTTTATTACCAGCCAACAAATTGAGAAAGTGACTAATATTTTCACGTTATATCGTATAGGTACTCTTGAAGTGATCCTGGATAGACGTCTTAGCCAAGATGATAACCGTGGCTTAGGTCAGGGTGTTCAGGATAATAAACGAACTCCAGCCAACTTCAGACTTTTTGTCGAGAAACTTCAGACTAAAGAAGACCAGGCGTCAGCAGGTGTCCCATTAACATATCATTCTCTCGCAAGTAACACCATTTCCCAGCATCTATCTCATCCTATCTCAGTCTTACATCACTCACATACCGACACCTCAACACTTCGGCCCGAGTTTGCGGGTTTAACCCGCGCGCTACCGTGTGATATGTTCATCGTGAACTTGAGAACAATACAGAAAGGTTTGGAACCTGAGCCCACAGAACAAGCTGCTCTATTGTTACGTCGTCATGGTTATGACTGTTCATTCCCGTCATGGTGTAGAACTACAATGGGAAAGGTGGGTGTCGCTATAAATGTTACAAACGCCACCATACGAACGAAATACTAAATCCATATTTTTCTTTGCAGATTCCATTGAGTACATTATTTAAAGATCTAGACATTAATAATATTCAAGAAACATCGCTGACCTTGATGCATGACGGTAAGACAGTCGCACGTGACTCAACACTGGACCTCAAACCAATGGAAATATATACGTATAAAGTGAAGCTGGAGTAGAGAGATTTACAATTGGGAAAATTTTTTGTAGATAAAGTGTAGGAATATTTATTGCTGAAGCAAAAGGGGAAAATTTTCCACGACAGACAAGTTCTAGCTTGAAGGCTATCAACGGACATACAACATCTTCATTGCTATGAAGATGTGTTAAAAATACACAACGCAAAGTCAGAAAATAAATTTTACTCTTTTCTATTAACTCTTGTTTGAAAGTAGTTTGCTGCGGTTTTTATCTTTATAAATTGTAAAATTGGGAAAAACCATTGGGAAAAACCCGTTTATATCCATGGATGTAGCTATTGCAAGTTTGCAACTATGTTTCCTGAGAATGATTGTGTCGCACTTTGGATGTAGCAAATTTGTAGCGAAATATGTGGTCACCAATTGATTAACATTACTAAAACAATTTTATATTGTGGGTTGTTGTTATTGGTTGTTTTACAAGTTGCGAAGATGATCCCATAGTGGATGGTCCTTTGTAACTATAGCTAACTGCTTTCCATATAACGGTCGTAAAGATTGAGTCACAATCTTTCTCATCAGCCGAAATACAACATTTTAGAACTGAAAATACGCGGAGTGATAGAACTAGGCTATTGAACATGACACTTTTTACGTTACGACCATATGGAACCAGGCTTATATACCTGGGCCGGTTGTATAAAGCTCTTAATCACTTTTTTAATCACTATTTTGTAGTTAAATAGTGGTTAACTTTAATCACGTTGTTAACTCGGTTGTATAAAAAAGTGGTTAGCGTTAACTGTAGTTAAAACGTAGTTAAAGTTAACGATGCTTTCGGGTATCGTTAACTTCTCAAAACGCAGTTAAAAATGGCGCTTGTATATGAGGGAACAACATTTTTCAGTAAAACAACAATGAAAAGTAATGCTTACCTGGGATTTTCAATCGCTATCTTCCCTGTGAATGTTTTCTGACAAATATATAAACTCTTCAAACGCTATCGCTTTGGTTTTTCGGCGAAAACAAAATATATTTTTGCACGGGAAGATTTCTCGAAGACGACGTAGGGTCCATTACACGAAGAAACATGATATATAATTGCCAAACAGTTACACTTTGGTTTAATATAGACATCTCAAGTAAAAATGGCCTTTGTTGAGTTTTCCTTGTTTTCAAGTTGATTTTTCACTGTTTTGAATAAAATTCCCGCCTATTTGCAAAATGCGAGTCCACAATCATGTTAAAAATGCCTGTCGGTGGTCGTTAATCCCTGCTTACTTTATGTAATTTTGTGTTTAAAACGCGCCACGCAAGCCCCACGCAAGTTAACTACGTGATTAGTTAATCATCCGACAAACTACGTTTTGTGCATGCAACGCAATTAAGTCGTGTAGTTAATTAACTAATCATAGTTAAGGATTTAACTACAGTGATTAACGCTATAAATCATAAATCATAGTTAAAGTTAACGACGTTTTTATACAACCGGCCCGCTGATATATCTGGGAACTGCGTGAGGTTGTCTTCCTCGCGTGTTTCACGCGCGAAACTCGTTAGTGAGCCATAATGGAAGATAACAATTTAGCGGAATTTTAGAACAAAAGAAAAATTTTCCAAAATGTCAACAAGACTTGAAATTTTAGAAGGTAAGAACTAAGTTTGTTTTTAAACACGAAATATAAATATTTGCGTTTAAAAAAGAGCAAAGGTCACGCATTATCAGACATGATATCTGGTTATTCAATTACAACATTGAAACATGAGAGTTTTAATTTCTGAGATCACTGAGCTGTGACCGTCCCTTCCTGTAGGTAAAACAACACGACACTACCCTGCCAAGAAACACTAGAATGAAGATATGAATTCTCAGGAACTGCCGTTGGCTTTAGATACAAAACTTTGATTGAGGTTTGTAACGTTTTTTTGTCAACTATTAAAACGAGAAATGGATAATGCGTTGATATATATATATATATATATATATATATATATATATATCTCGTGTCTTTACAAATGTTCGTGAATAGTTTAATATTTTGATTGGTGTGGTAAAACACGCACTAATTTCGTTAGTTTTGTGCCAAGATAATTGTTTGAGTGCTGTAAGAAGCGAATCGCGACCAGTTAAGGTTGATTTATATTCTGAAATACCCGAAATTCACATGTGAAATATTATATTTAGTCGTGAGAGCTGAAATTGATATCGATCAATTTCAGGTCATTGACCGTTTATCGTTTTATGATATTGTTGTGTGTTATATCAGACAAGTGGCTTCTATATTGGTTATGTTAATCATTAATTACGGAATTCGAGAACACTTTAATATGGGAATGATTAGAAAATGGTCAATATCTTGCAAACATATCTTGCATATTTTCATGAGATTAGTCTACAACATGTCTGTGGTTTACATGTTGTGTATTGTTTGTTGCTATGTTTGGTCAACAAGTTGGAAATACAGTTAGATTATATCGCCTTACTTGGTAGCCACACTAGGTGTTGGGAAATAAACTGTTTCAACTGCAGTGTCAATGTTAACAAGTTCAGTCATGGTTGAAATACAGGATACTGATAGCAATGTTTATTAAGGCCTGGAAAATATAAGCAGATGATTTCAACTTTTTGAGAGAAATCTCTGATGAAGTACATCCACTTGAACTAGCACAAGAATCTTGTGAAGGGAAAATGAAATATATTATGTTACAATATGTTATGTTATTTACACCACCAATAGTTCTGACTAAGGTCACCTAAATTTTAACTACAGGGAGCCATTGTATCATTAAATATCAATACAAACATAATCTCCATTCAGTTATATCAAAGCAGTCTGTGTAGAAACATGTGAAGCAAGTTATATCGCATATTACTTGCTCCCTGTGTTGCAACTGGAAAATATTTTGATTCGACTGAAATCTTGCTGCTAAATGAACAGAAGTTTCACCCAGCAGTGATGGGATGCATTTAATGCTTGTATTATATAAGACTATTTTGTCTTCCTGCAGTAACAAGAATAGAACTTGGTTTATACTTATTGTAGTTCATTTACAACTGGTATCTGTGTGTAGTTTAATCATTTACTGGCTGATAGTTTCAGCAAATATAAAACTAATGTTATTCTGAAAAAAGTATGCATTTTAACAACACATCTGTTTTAAAAACTGTGTATTTCGATTCTATTGTGATTCATCTTTGGCAGTATATTTACAAGAAATGGCGAATCATTCCCCATATCTTGTAAATATACTGCTGAAGACGAATCAAAATAGATTCAAAATACACAGTTCTCATACACCGCAGGGAGCTGCTGCAGCGTCAGCTGCGCAACAATCAAAATACACAGTTTTTAAAATAGATGTGTTGTTAAAATGCATACTTTTTTGGAATAACATTAAAATCTACTAGAAATGTTTGGGAAGTGATCCCTCCCCTTCACTTCCCTACCTGCTGTCCCCCCCCAAATATTTCTGCTTTGCTGCCTTTCCCCCAGAAAATATATGTGTTGCTGTAAATCTGTCTCCCTTTGCTAATTTTCCTTGGACATTTGCCCTTGAGACATTCCCTGTTCAAAATACGCAATTCCAGCTTTTAGTTTATGCCTGCAGGGGTGATGGGAAGTAAGGTATCATATTGCTGATTATGCTAAAAAATTTCAATAAAAACTACCGAAACAACCGAAATATTTTTAATATTTACAAGTATAAGTTATCACTCCATGTTTACGCGGCCACCATTTTTATTTTTTCAGCATAATCAGCAATATGATACCTTACTTCCCATCGTCCCCTGCACACATGAACTAAAAGCTGGAATCAGAGCCGCCGAGAGGGGGGGGGGGCAAATTGCCCCGGGCCCCGAGGTGCTGGGGGCCCCTGGAAATTTATTTGTTGGGTCCCAGTCTTTTTTGTGTGTTAAATATTTCCGCGCAAAGGACAAGATATCTGTTTTCTTGAGATAAGTGCCGAAATTTGGCATAAAAAAATGAGATAAAGTCACTGGAAAGCAATAGCAACGTACTGGTCCGGAAAATTTTTTTACCCCGAAAATGGCACACTGAGTTGTCTGCAAAAATTGTTGTCTGCAAAAATTTGTTGTCTGCAAGAATTTTTTTCTGGAAATTTTTTTTGCGATAGGGGGCCCCCAAAAAAATATTTGCCCGGGCCCCCGCCAACCTCTCTCCGGCACTGGCTGGAATTGCCTATTATCCATCATAATTCTGCTCCAAGCTCAAATGTTAGTATCCCTGGTTCATATCCCTATATATCCCTAGATTTTGTCCACCATGTGACAACGTCATCAGGAAAAGCAGCCTGTGGTTTTTGACTTAAATGACGGAAGTTTCCCACCAGTTTTTAATACGTAACCTATCCTTCAAAATAGAAAACTATTTTTAAAACCCAAGAGTATCTTCCTCAATGTAGGTATGTCTATATAAAAACAGCAGTTATTGCTGACACTGCGGTCTATTTTTGGCACAATCATTTCCGAATCACGCAGATTCAAATCCATTTTTAAACAATTTGCATTCTTTAAATTCCTGCTAATAATGGTACCGATATTAGCAATTTCTATAAACTGTATTTAAATTAAGATGATTCTAGAAAATATATCAGCAAGGACTTAACAAGCCTTTAGGCTTTACTCAGAAAGACTCTTAGTGAAGGTTTATTTGTCCACTTTATGTCATAAAATTGTCAGCAAAGACGAAAGTGAAACCGACGACCGTATAGTCATAAATGTTTCACTGTATTAATGTTTTACATGGTGCAACCACTGCAACATGCATTTTGTTGCAAATAAACTGCGATTGTCACATCTATGTTACAACATCGTGTTAAGAATCTTTCTGGTAAACCTTGTTCATTTCTTGCTGCAAAGGGAATTACTTTGCCATATATTGTCATCAATAAATAAGTAAAACGCATGAGATGTTATTGCCTTGATACCTTGTCGACTAATTACTAATCTAACTGATTAATCAACTGATTGTTGTATGACACTTCAATCACATATTAACATACATAGTTTGAAACAGCAACGTTCTTGCCTTATGTCCAAATCATCTTCAAAGCAAATCACGTGCGTTTTTTTTTTAACATATGCAAATGTTGTTAAACTGTCATTATTAAAACGTTCTGATAGCTTCCGTTCACTGATTCATTCATTCTTTATACCTAGGGCTTTCCCTGGCTATTGTACTGTAAATAATCGAGTTCTGACGCAAAACAGAAGTCTTCGAGACAATTCATGTAAGTTTGATATATAATACCTTGTTAGTGTAGATTTAGTTTATATACAGCTTGAGATTCAAGTATGATTGATTATAATATATTGATGTACATGCTAAATGTATCATACATTCTCCTGACAAAGATTAATAAGTTTTGAAATATATCGTAATTCCAAGTAGGATAGTTTATGAATTCGTACAACCGTGAGTCTGACGTTCATGGTAGCGACTGAAATGGCTCGTCGAGTTAAATGTCATTTTGACCGGATTTTCTTAAGACTATATTCTCGACTACAATAATTAATGGGTTCTGTATATATATCCGAGTACCTTTGTTTCTAGTTTGCGAGCAGAATGGAATTGAACGACATATATATTGAATCTGGTATAAATGTATAGTGAAATTTTATCACATGAGCGGGGAGTTGAGATCGTTATGTGACTCGTTATATCGTGATCAATTCTTGCTCGAATTCTTGTATAATAATGGTATATATATAAGTTGGTCACAGCTGGACATTAATCCATTGCTTGATATATAAGCTGTGTATTTAAAAACCAGTAATCTTTGACCTAATATTCACAAAAAAAATACTTAATCCGTTCATGGTGATATTTTTCGTAGAATTCCATTCCAACTTTTTCTAAATGATAAATATCATTATATATTCAACACAAAGCGTTCATTGGCGTAAATTATCTATTTTTTGGTAACAGCTTTTGGTCAGATTTGTTATACTGTATATTTTAGTTAGGAAGAAAGGCAGGTATCCATGTGTTGCTAGGGAGTAACAGTTGCTCTATATGCATACAATGTGAAGGAAGTGACGGTATTTTAATCCTGAGTGGGCAGCTTAATTCAACCACAGAATAAGTAATGCGACATTGTTTTGCTAGGCTATCAATTGGTTAGGGCAGGTTGATTATTCTACATATTCTTTAGTCTTTATATAACCTGGGCTTTTTTATTTTATGATGAAACATTTCTTTTCTTGGACTTTTTTATTTTTTGATAAAACATTTATTTTTCTTGAGATTTTTTTATTTTATGATGAAACATTTCTTTTCTTGGACTTTTTTTATTTTAAAATAAAACATTTCTTTTCTTGGGCTTTTTTATTTTTTGATAAAACATTTATTTTTCTTGAGATTTTTTTATTTTATGATGAAACATTTCTTTTCTTGGACTTTTTTTTATTTTATGATAAAACATTTCTTTTCTTGGGCGTTTTTATTTTTTGATAAAACATTTATTTTTCTTGAGATTTTTTTATTTTATGATGAAACATTTCTTTTCTTGGGCTTTTTTATTTTATGACGAAACATATTTAGATGTACATACTAAAGTTCTAATACAGTAGTAGTATTCCTGAAAAGCATTCCTGAGTAAAACTTTGAAAGCTATGTGCAGGTAACTGAATCGTCTGGTAACAGACATTTTAGTATCCCAGTAAAGTTTTGAATAAAATCCTAATCTGTTCGGAAGGATGTTGTTTGAAGTATTAAATTATATAAGTAATCTTGATTGATTTTCCAGTACACATAACAAACCTACATCCGGACTATTTGACTAATGATACCTTACCTTGGCAAACCTTCAAATATTTCGAGGCTGTGAGCGTCTTTTGTATCTTTGGGTATTGTTTATGAGCTTTATAATGCAATAGGATAATGATGATTGTATCTGAAATTCACTTGATTATTCACATGTTTCTAAAATGGATCGTGAGCTTAGATCTCCAATATACGAAACTGGAAATCTTTAATTGTATTGATTGATCGATTGATTGACGGGTTAATTGATTGATTGATTATGTCTATTACTGTGCTCAACCTATTGCTCTTCAATTTATTGAGCCGTTTTGGAAACCAGATTAATAATAAGATATTACAACGTTCGTTATAAGTCGATAAAATATTTATCCTTGGAAAGTAGTGGAGGCACCTTTCTTTTCAGCGAAAAAATCCATCACGTTAAAAAAGCTTGTTTGAAATTGATGTATTTCATTGTTACCTGTCACAAATAAGTAAATTCCGTTATTTCCTTGTTCCTAAATGAACACAATGATCTATTGAAACGATTACGAATATGCCAGAGTGGATGCAGATAACAGGTCTACCTATTACCCCATTAACCTCTCGCTGGTTCATTTAAATACCTGGTGTGAACATGCAAACATGTTGGAAAAACTATCAGGAAAAATTCATGAACGTCTGATAGCATAAAAACATTCATATCGTCGTTTTCTTCCTACACTGCACTCCAGGGTAAACGTTTTGCCAGTAAAAACTAGATCTGTATCGTAACGGAATAATCAGTATTTTATATAATTTTTAATATCTATAACTAACAAACCCATATATCAAATTTAAGTTTGGAATATTGCAAAATGAATTAGTCAATTCAATTATCAGTCAGATATAAATATACTCTATTATTCTGTATTAATGTACTGTTCTGAAGAGCCTACCTGTCAATTAACCCAGCTAATTAATATGAATCAATTTGATCGATTCAAGAAGTTGATGGTGTGTTGGTCTGTATATTAGAAACTACCTCAAATGCTAGACAGGGAAATTATGAAACGAGTAATATGAAACAAGGCAGAAAAGCTGTTGAATCTTTCGTCTCATTATTTTGATTTCTGGTTGCTTCTAGACAAATGTACAAAAGAAATTGCTTCAATATGCCACCTAAAGAGACCTTGGCAACTCATACCGGAAATTCTTGAGAGCCAAACTTTTATAATAAAGTGGCAATTGTCTTAGAATGTCTTTGTAAATGAGACTAGAATCATGTTAAAACATATTTTCTGGTTGAAATTATAGCCTCGATACTCGTGTAAGATCAAGCTAAGGATATATATCATTAACGAGTACTGTATAGACTGTCGTGGCCTGTAAGGTATTGTCAACTATTGTGGTTATAAAATATGTTTATATAGACAAACAAATCATGTGGACATATTTACTGTTAATCCTCGCGCAAGTATGTCTTCACAAGTTCCTTCGTGAGTTCTTTTGCTCATGTCTAGGAAGAACAACATACACATTCGCACACGCGAGCAATTTTCTCGTTAGCTGAAGTCACGTTAATACTAGGGCTTACTAGGGATAAAAACATGACAGGGCTGTATATATAGGTACTGAATTTTGAGATATAATACTGGAGTTAATTAGGATCACCATGACATTCTAATATCAGACGTTATTTGTACTGAAAGATCAAATATATAGTTTGTTATATATACCATTTACGTTATCGTGTCTGATCTGTACTCAAGAAACTGGAGTGCACTTGATATATCAGTTAATTTATGAGATCAGTGATGTGACGTCATAATTTTGATGAAACATCTGCCATGCAAGCTGGTGCAGCCAAATGATGTTGGTGCGGAAACTGCGCCTATTGGCAAATGATACTGCGGTATAAATCATGTTATAAAGAATTCGCAAATATCCTTTAGGCCAATCCAATAAAGAGAATACCTTTATTCAGGTTAATCCCCTGCTAAACAACCGCAGTCAATATTGACATTAGGTCGCCCCGTAAACACTTCACAGAGATATTTTGAATTACCTTATTGTTAGAGCGAGAACCTTTCATTGCTCCATTCTCAACTTTGGTATATCAATAAATTAAGATTGTATGAATGGTTGAACTTATTGATTAAAAATCCAAAGTTTGGTTCCCAGGATCAATCATTCCGCTGTGTTTGTCGGAATGATCATACATTGTGAACATGTAACCTCTTGCCAACGGCGCTGCTTTTGATTCGCTTTGCCAGCTAATGTAAAAAATACACGAAAATTGAATCCTGGCATGCAATTTTAAAAATTGCATCCTAGCATCCAATTTTGCACAATGATGTTAATATCGTCAGCTATATTAGAAAGTTGTTTTAGATATGAGAAACCGCTAGAATAACTGCTGTGCTTGCTGTGCTGAATATTTACGTTTATTTGGCTATGCTGAGGAATTAGCATGATGTAATAATACATGCCTCATGTATAACCCCCCGTGCTTTATTATCACATATTTATTGAACCCTTAGTGTCTTGCTACATTGTGTATGTCAAACCACACGTGTCTATTTGATTTGTTCTCTCAACTCTCATTGGCTGCAAGCTGTAGAAACGCTCGGTTATTATAATGTCATTTAAATAGAATAGCAAGCGTGAGAACAACTGGGCAATGACATGCAATTTTTAAGTCAAAGTGTTTGGTAAACCAAGTTTAAGAATGGCTAAGATTCTCCCGCCCTTGCTAGAGGGTTTCAAAGGTAAGTAAGTACCGGCAGTGATATTGCTTGCTGGATTTTTGGAATACTTAATGATGGATGTGTTATGTGAGTCATTATACTGAAGTAGAAAGTACTTCATATGATCCGAATGTCTGACGTGAATTTTTCCGTTGGTCCAAGGAAGGGAACTCAGTTAGCAACATACTCCATAGCGTTTCATATTTATCGATGAACGGATGAAGCGGTTGTGCTTTTTAGCAATGTCTCCGGATAAGACTGGATCAATTAGTAATGGTCTTATGGTTACAGTAAATATACTTTGTACTGGAAGATTTGAAAGTCTTACAACAGGGTTCAATTTTTACTTCGTCAAAAATAGCATTATTACACAGAGGAGTTATTACATGCTTCTGTATCAAATATTTCATTCCTTAGTGGGTATTATATGCATAATGGCTGGGCAAACTATACGATTGCTTAAATATGGGATTAAGATGGCTTATACAGTTGAAAACATTAATTATCGTGATCGTTCGTTCAAATATTGTCATGAGGAATATCCACTGTCTATGTTATTATGTAAATGTTTTGTCTTTGTGATGGAAATATGGCTTGAGGTATAAAACACAATGAGCGCTTATCTTTTGAATTCTTTGCAATCATGCTCCGTCTTGTGTCTTAAATAATATTACATACAGCCAAGATTTCGGGAGTCGCAAACGTGGGAGAGCCTGGAACTATAGCAACATGAAAAATGAAAGTTTAATGTTTCACATCATTTGTCTCTTTTCGTTGTATTTATGAAATCGCTTGAAACATTGTAACTATATAGTACAAGTTACACTCAAATGCATGTAAAACCTGATTAAACCATCTTAGTATGAATACGTGTTATAGAATATTCTGTTTCTTCCAGGTCGTTATGTGCTAGGCAATGACTCATGAGACACGTCGTGATTTAGTCAGCAATCGCAGCAGAAGGGAAACTGGGAACCAGAAAGATATTCTTGCTACACACGCCAGACAGGTACATCTTCCCAGACCCCCATATCGTAATCTCATCACTGCATGAATAGGTGGATTTCACCAAGTATACATGCTTCCGGAAAGTACATCACTTTGGCTACAGAGCATCGTTTTCGTCATCGAGACATTGAGCTTTAACTAATGCCACCTACACGAAAACGAGTCTCTGTGACCAAAGTGACGTTCTTTACCAAAGTGACGTTCTGTACCAAAGTGACGTTCTTTACCAAAGTGACGTTCTTTACCAAAGTGACGTTCTTTACCAAAGTGACGTTCTTTACCAAAGTGACGTTCTTTACCAAAGGGTCTAAAGTTTGAATTTTGGTATAAAAATTGCATTTATTCACCGAAGTTTCTTTTGGTTAACAGCTCAAATATTTGGACACTTGTTCACGAAGTGAATCTGACCGGGAAAATAACTACAGCGATATAGCAACATTACCCGGAGTTAAAGTTCCCTTTGTTGTTCGACCAGAACCAGCACCCCGTAAAACAATGAGGAACAGTATTAGAAAATTACCGAGGAAATCCAGCTCCGCCAAGGACAAGAAGAAAGACGCAGAGAAACGCAAAGATAGCGAGAAAAGCAAAGATAGCGAGAAAAGCAAAGATGGCGAGAAAAGCAAACAAAATGGAAAGAAACTCAGTTCTTCCCCCCCGGAACCAACATGTGATAGTGCTAGCCCAACCGACAAAGGACGTCAAACGGACAATGCTTGCCATGGGGGTGCAACCGATACATGTGAGAAGGTGGTGGTCACCCAGTTAGACAGACCTATCATGGGTTCACTGGATGCTTCGGAGTTAATGTTAATGAGCTCAGACAAAGGTGATGTTGGAACAATGGTAAGTTCTGCCCCATTTTAACAACTCTTGCTCATTCATTTATTAATCGCCGTGATTCAGTATACCTAACCGTAATTCTGTATACTTTTTCAAGATTCACTGTATTACAGCCAGTATCCATTGACTGACATTAACCCTATTATAACATTAATCATTCTCTTATTGATTCTTCATAGCAAGTGTTGCTAAAGAAAAGTTCAGAAGACTCAAATACGTTATGTGTTACTAAAGACAGTAATGGCGAGACGCCACTTCATAAGACAGCCAAGGGCGGTTACCTGAAATGCCTGAAATTTCTTGCTGCCCAAGTACTTGATCAGGTTTCCTGCCTGGACAACTCAGGCATGACGCCCGCGGCACATGCTGCTAAGGTAAGTTATCAGGTGTTGTAGGCTACGAGAGTAGACCATTTCAACTAGGCGAAACATGGGAGTAAATGCTATCAATGTCAACATGTGTTCACACTGGTAACTGCTTGTTTCCAGTTGTTGACAAATCTAGTACCTATTGATCTTTTCATTTCTGTATCTTAGAATGGTCATGTGAATTGTCTCAAGTGGCTGGTGGAGGAGAGCAGCGCGTATGTAGAACTTGCCGTACGAGATGGACAGACACATTTGCTCCATCGTGCGGCGTCTGAAGGAATGGAACAATGTTTGACGTATTTATTGGCATTTATGGCAAAACGCAAGATTACTACAGGTATTACGAATCTCGACGAGGAACACTTGAAAAATAATAACTTGAGCGAAGGCCCTTCGATTAAAAAGTTTTTAACCGTCAGGATTTTGTAATTTAACATGTAATAACTTAACATGTTATTCTATAGATATTATTGATGGTCAAGGACAATCACCACTTCATACAGCCGCCAAAATGGGACACTTAGCTTGTGTTCAGACCCTAGTCGAACATGGTGCCGATGTTCTTGGCAAAGATCACGAAGGTTTAACCTCAGCAAGTATCGCCTATATCCACAAACAATCGATATGTTCACGATATTTGTTGATGGCTGAGTCTTGTTGGATCTTGGCCTCCCGTGTTGCCACTTTGTTTCGTGAAGTGAATGGATGTAAGAAAGAAAATAGGGAACTTAAGAAGTCCATAGAGGTAAGGGGGGATAATTAGGAGTATTTAGGGGCGTTACGAGATCCAAGCAATGTCTTTCAATTCACCTTAGTAAGAAAGTTTCTTCACGCCAACGATGTTTAGTTTTCTCTTATTGGTCATGATTCATAAACAAGAGTTCATAGTTATCAAGGATTTCACATCTTCTCTTTTATATATTTTAATTGATAATTTTTTAATATTGCAATTTTTAGAACTTGAAAGCGAGAAAAAAGTCTTTTCCAAAAGATTTACCGCATAGACCTGAGACAGTTGGTGCACACGTGGTAGGTGTTGAAAAATGTGCTATACGTTATGATGGTTATTGGCCAGCATTATTTTGTGATGCGCCAAACATGTGTTTCTTAACCTTTTCATTATTTTTATTATTGTATCGTAGGACGAAAGTGGAAACCAAATAGAAGATATTTCTCGAAGTGATCAAAAAGTGTCACTTGGACTTCGCGAACGTAATTTTCCTGATGGAGAAAGTCCTAAGAGCACCTTTACTGAAGCTGAGTAAGTTTATTAAATTTCCTGATCATTTCAATATATTTAGTCTCCCCAGATGGCTCTGCAGGAAAGGGAAAGTGGAAACATTCTTCTCACATGTGACTTTATTATAAGTATATGAACACATGAATACATCACTCTGCTGCCTTTTAGATCTATAAATGCGTTCCAATAACCGACATATCTAGATAAAAAAATATCTGACAAAATTTCTTTCCCTTGAAGTAAACGCCGACCACAGGACATTTCTCCAGCAAATCACGTGATCAATCGAGATGCAGAAGTGAGCGATGTTCAACACTTTAAAGTAATACGTCAAGGAAGCAATGATTCTGTTGCGTCGTCCAATGGCATCGCTGAAATAGCTCCTGCTGAGAAAATCAAGGCGTAAGTTAACCTTCTTCATTAGTGGATTGCAGTCATGGCGGTCAACTTGAGAGATGTTCAGACTTTGTAGAAGAAAGAAATGAATGTCTCACTTTGATATCTGTCTGTTCACCGGTGACCACCATCGCGATACTGCTTAGTGAAACCTTCATAATCCTTTACCAGCAGACATAAATACCAGCATACTTTATAAACCTTCATAAACTTAGGAATTCTTTTAGCAAGGAATGAACTTACAAGAATGGCTGTGGCACTACACGATCTTTTCATTATTATTTTCTTATTTTTTTCTCAGTAAAGAGATTGCTATGGTAACACATCAACTGATGTCAACTCGACATTTACAACTGGTGAAAAATAAGAAGACCAAAGACATGAATCCTCCTGAAGGTAACGGCATTTTCTTGTTAGTGTTGTAATATATTCGTAAGTGCCACTACACCTAATTGGTCTTATACCTAGGTCTGTTCAACCGCACGTAACGTATCGCAAGTATTATACACGCATGTCATTTGAGGCCGCCTTTGATAATTGATTGTAATTTTGTAGTTGTAGATCCTAAACCAGAACAAAAGACATCAGTGGATGACAGTGCTGTAGTCATGCGCAGAGCCAACACAAGAAGTAAAAACATGAGACCCAAATCACTTTGTGATAAAGATTTACAGTTCATGAGGTCTGCCAGTGATATTGGTTTCAACCATAAACCAAACAAAGTCGTCCTAGAACGACGAGCTTCCTGCATTGAAATAAACAATCAATCAAAACTTGACGTCAACGATACCTCCAGTCAGCGGCATGCCAAAGAAAGCTCGGATTCAGACCTCTCACCAACAGACTCGAACCTTGAAAAAGAAACATTTTGGGACAAAGTCGGAGCAAGGAAACTTTTATCGCGAAAAAAGAACACAAAACCGCGACCTTTGTCTGGTGGACTCAGCGACTTGCAGACAGTGTCTACAGATAAAATCCTCGAGTTGTATGCGCGAGAGTCTCGCGGGAGTACCACGCGAATTGATAGTCTAATCATGGAAGAAGACGAGGCAAGTCCCTCCATGGGCAGAAGGACAATGTCGTCACTTGAACTGAAATCACATGCGTACACGCGGGAATCGAGTACCCACTCGAGTTTTCGCGAAACGCGTTCGAATTTTCAACCATTGAGCGATTTCCGAATGTCCGAAAGACATACACTCAGTACGTCACGTGATCAAAACAGCGAAGTCACTGAGAAGAGAAAACAGCGTCCAGTCGCAAAACCTCGACTAAAACTTCGTGCTTCTAGTGAAACAAATGTCTCGAAGCAGACTGTGGCAAGTTTTAATACATCTCAAGTTCACAGAACTCTTAGGGAGGATAATTTAGATAATTTTAAAGAGGATGGACAGGGTTTTATAGGTACAACTACTCTGGATAGGTATGGATATACATTGGATAATAAACACGAGGACACACAGGAAGATCTGGAGTGCACAGACGTAAGTAACGGAAGACATGTTTAATTGAAAATAGAGAATATAAGCTAAATGCAGTAATGCACTCAAAATATATTTAGCAGACAAAATCAATTATCAATTTCTAACTCTCTTCATTTCTTCATTTTCAGGTTTAACGTTTTCTTTCAAGACAGTCTCGTGCTATGTCAAGATATTTAAGAACAACACAACTTGACAAGAAACATACTTATCTTAATAAGTTCTTTGTAGGTTTGCATGGCGATAAAACATATAATACTTTTGTTTGTAGAAATACCACGTAAATTTATTACTGCAAAAAATTTATTACTGCAGTTTATTGCAGTAATAAATTTACGTGGTGTTTCCATAAATAAAAGTATTATATACTTATCTTAGTCAACAATATGATATTGCAATGTGGGTTGTAAAGGGAATATGTGGGGAATTATTTATATACAATATGTGCTGTTGTCAGTGTGTTTCTGTTTCTTAGTTAAATTGTGAAGCATTCTCTCATCAAATGCGACACATAAAATCTTAATCTCTCCAAAATGGCTGTAAGTGCGCGCCAGATATGTTCTTAATTTCTGAATCTTCACAGGGAGATGCCCGCCCAGGTGGGTGATACCCTTTGGACACACATAGCCGCGTACTTCTTTCAAAAAATTCCGCTAGAAACCTGAAATGATTATAGCTTAGTTCAATTTGGAAAACAGGGAATGTTGTAAAACTTAATTTTGAAGCAAACTGAATGTTTACGTAAATTTTGAAAAAGAGAAAAACTTTTCGCGCAAAAAAAATCTTGTTGGAAAACGAAGTTAGTACTTGAAGTATGGCTGGTCGTTGGTAGCCCTGCGTTTTCGAAATACCCATATATCCTAGTTACTTTTTGTGTGTGTTGGTGTTATATATTCAGGTGAATATGATGTTTGTGGTGTTACTCTGAGTTGTGCATCCACACCGGGCAAGCTGAAAAGTTTGACTGACGACGGTGGGAATCAAACCCGCGATCTTCGCATACTAGTCCAATGCTGTAGAAATATTGCAGTCGCATGAATAAAACGCGTCGTAAATTGGATCGCAATCTCGTACCCAGAGCAATGCCTGTGCGCTAGGATGGCATTGGCTCTGGGGAAATTAAATTTTTCCTGTGCTGTGATTGGTTTAACGTTTATCAATCGTGCATGCCGACGAAGAACAGGAACCCCTAAATTTAGGGGTTCCGGTTGTCAATTTCCCCAGAGCCAATGCCATCCTAGCCCGCGCAAGCTCGCGCACAGTCGAGGAAAATGTCACGTGAGAATCATATCTCGCCCCAAGTTTCTCACTCGGATGATCGTCCATTTTGTATTTTGGTTTTAAAAGTCAGAATGATAAAGGCAATTTTGATATTTAATAATCATGGAAAACCTCGACTGTCCAAGTTTTTTACATACTATGTAAGTATGGGATAATCTTCTGTTTGGGCTGGGAAAATACATAATTTTTGAAATATAGGTACAAAAATTTACACTCTGAATTCTATTAACATGTAAACATGAGTCATTATATTTCCCCCTTGATACTCTGATAGTAAGGTATGTAAATGAACTAGACACTAACTAAATTATTTTTATCCACATCTTTAGCCAGAAGATGTGCAACAACAGATAATCAGAGAAACGTTTCACTTGTTGGCAAAAAGAGATGACAGTTGTTGTAATTTCCTAGAAAGTGGAAGGTATATTGACTTCTAAGAATTAACCATAACAATTCCATGTCAGCCACTAAACATAAGAGTACTACATGAATTACCGTTGCTTGCAACTAAGAATGAACGGTCACTCATAAAAACATTGCCTATTTGTGTGAGAATCTTCAATGTTTGTCAATAGCACATGATAGTGATTTGGGGTCTGAGGCTAACCCATGAATTAAGTCGGTCATAAATAAGCAAGTTTTCTATGACAATATTTTATATGGCAAGATGTATTTGCCAAGTGCATGTGTGTATGTGCAACAAATGAGAAATAGCTATTATTACCTGTTACAACAATAGTTCTCTGACCAACTGCATGCAAGATTACTTTGACAAGTTTTCTTTGTTGACCCATACAGACGAGCAAAATTTGTACTTGTTCAAAATCTAGCATGCTAGCTCAAGTGTACTTGTTGCAGTAAAAACATTGTCAAAGTTGCGTATACATACAAGCAAATAAAACTTGCCACATAAAAATTTGTCATAGAAAATTTGCTCCTCCGTAACTGGCTTTAATGTAAATATGGTACATTAGTAGCTGTAGTCAACAAGCAATTATCACAGTAAGAACATTATATTACTGTCGCTTGCACTAAGATGAACGGTCACAGATAAAACATTGTCTATTATCATGACAAAGTTCAATGTTTTTACTGACAAAGTTCAATGTTTGTGAATTTGTGATGACATTTGATGGTTTCAATTTGCTCAGCCAATCAGCTTGGAGCTGGTTGAACGTGATTGGCTGATCAGATTAAAACCTGTCATGTGCCTTGGCTATAGTAATTTACCAATTTAGACCTGTTAAAAATAACAAAACTATTGCAAAGAAATTCAAAACATAAGATTGTTCAACTTCAAAACTTTGCTCAAAAATAATTGCTGGAAACATGCCTGTATATTTAGTTTTTTTTGCAGGTAGCCAAAACAAATTTGAAGTTAGCCCTGCATACTCCAAACTTGCCTGCTTTGCTTGAAGCTTGCAAATTGCGACCAGGCACCGAAGAAATTTTGTTTGAATTGTGTTTCATATTGTCAAAATTGAGTGTCCACTAATTTGCTCGAACTTAATTGGTCAAAAATTTTCATATCTCAAGCCGACAAGATTGTTGGCTGATGAATAAAATTTGGCCACAGACCAGGAAATTCTATGTTTTTGATGGCATCATTTGATGTATTTACGTCTTGAGTACGACTCTAAATATTGCAAAATGTATTGGGGAAAATTGAAATTTTCGACTTTACTTAAGCATGAGTTCTTCTGAGCAAGGATTGCAGTTAGGCACTTGCAGGTAGTGCTGCTACGTAGGATCCCAACATCTGACAAGCATGGGTGGGAACCTGCAGATAGTGCTGCTACGTAGGATCCCAACATCTGACAGGCATGGGTGGGAACCTGCAGGTAGTGCTGCTACGTAGGATCCCAACATCTGACAAGCATGGGTGGGAACGTGGTCAGTGTTGTGAGGATTTACCTCAGCCAAGCAGCACTTTGTGCTATGGCACAAGATATAACATTCGGACAATGTCACTGGCTAACTCTATTTCATAATTTCATTGAATTGCTGAATTCTGCCTATTTGAATACGGGCTTGAATTCATTCTTCCAAGGTTTCTGATTGCTGGAATTTGTATTATTTATTTTTTTAGCTTGATAGATGGGACAGATGTGAAGATAGTTTATCGTCATTATGCTACATTATATTTTGTGTTTTGTGTCGACTCGTCAGAAAGTGAACTTGGTATACTTGATCTTATACAGGTATATTTAAGAAATTTACTCTTGCTAGGGTCAAGTGTTCTGAAACCTTCCCAATCTAATTCTTGTAATATTTTAGGTTTTTGTTGAGACATTAGACAAAACATTTGAAAATGTGTGTGAACTGGATTTAATATTTCATGTTGATAAGGTACGTTGTTGTGTGAATATCTCAGAATACATTATTATTAGTCTGTCTAACACCAGATAATTTGCTCGTCAAGGGGAGAGCAATGACACTCGATGGCTTAATCATTTTATTATGATATGTTCGGGTAATATCCACAAGAATAAATGGATAAAAATACAATGTTTATTTTTTAGGTTCATCATATATTATCTGAAATAGTAATGGGTGGAATGGTATTAGAGACAAATATGTCAGAAATATTAACACATATAGAGGCACAAAACAAGCAGGAAAAATCTGAGGTTAGTTTTATTGCAGTAATGATAAGTTTGACTTTTCCAAAACAGTCAGCAAAATTGTCTTGGCAAAGAAGAAAGTTCAAACTTATTCATTCTATTTTTCAGGCTGGTATTACGGCAGCTCCAGTGAGAGCGGTAGCCGCAGTTAAAAACTTTAGCCCAAGTGTTCCTAACTTATCCAACATTAACCTGCCATCACTACCTTCGCTCCCAACATCCATCAAAGAACTCAAGACAGCATTGCCAAATTTTAATAAGAAATTCTGAACTATAATTATATATCATGATTAATTTAAATTATTTGACCAAGTTACAAAATATCCTGAAAACCTTTGATACAATGGCAGGCTTTTAGTCATTGGTTAGGCCATTTTCCATTGTGCTCAGTTTACCTCCAGTAAAACTCTTGCATGTACACCATGACGGCACGTTTCATGATGTGTTTCTGGAAATAATTGTACAGGTTGCTTGGTTGGCACAAACTAAATGACTGTACAACATCAGGCAAGATTTCTCAGAATCATTGCTAAGATGATGATCTGTGTCTACTAGAAATCACCATTAGCATTTCTAAGAATCAATTAACAAACAGTTTAACTCAAGAATGCCAAACTTGATACAAAAGTTAATGCTGGGTCTAAATGAGGATCTTTGCATGTCTTTATTTATTTTGTACATTGGGTTTTTTGCATACTTGAGTATAATTACAGATGGCAATGTACATCCACTTTAAGTAAGTTGGTGCAATCCAATATTGTCATAGCGTTGCTAGTGCATTCTGTTGTAAAAGGAAACAATCTCGCACAACAACTGGGACAGGTGCAAGCCAATATTGTCATAACGTTGCTAGTACATTCTGTTGTAAAAGGAAACAATCTCGCACAACAACTGGGACAGGTGTAAGCACCTTCTGTTGTTGTAGTACTGTTCTTTATATCAACACTTGCAGCCTGGAAATCTTTATGAGTTTTTAATGATCAAATCTTCATTGTAATATTTCACAAAGCCTAGTGAGGGTTGTTACTAAGTTACAAGTTTTAAATAGAAAAAATGAAAATAGTTATTTTTGGTATGCCAAGGAATGTGTAAAAAAGCGCACGGATCTTTTCTTTTAGCAAAGTTTTTCAGGATATTTTGTGATTTTAGTATTTTTCACACCATTCCTATCTATATATAGTCATTATCATTGAGAAAATTCTCGTTAACTTTCAATAGAAAACGGAACAGTCATTTTGAGCAATACTATTTTCAAATTTCTGTATTGAATTTGAGAAGAAAAAAATGTAAATATAAAATTGATTTACAAATTTAAAGTTTCATTGTTTAAATTTTGAAGGAATATGGAGACATAAACTAAAAGTTTCAATTGGGTAGTATTTATTGTTTCAAATCAGAAAAAAACCTCATAATCAGCATGAAAAACCCGATATCAACCAAAAATAACATCCCACTCCTGCGGTTTCCCGTCCTACCACCCGAGCATGTTATCATATGCCCCCAGCGTGACGTCATATCCTGGATGAGAGCGTCTTCATTATTTAC